TTGTAAATGCACATAGAGGAGGCCAACTCAGGTAACTTCGTTTTGGTAGACATCACTGGTCGACTTGAGAAGGTCGACGCAAGTTTGGCTGCATTGAATGTTCTATTAATTGCTCTCATTAATCTGTCCTGCAGAGTATCGCAGGCCACATCTCCGTTGAATTGTAATTTGATAAATAGTGGCTTCTTTCGGACGGTCGAAATTACTGACTTCTTTTTTACATCAACCATATACTTCCTTATGAATGCGCTGGGGTAGCCGATCTCGGTCAGTGAGTTGTTGATAAATTGCAGCTCCTGACTTAAAGTATCTATAGAACAGATCATTTTTGCCCCGCTAGTGAGACATCTAACCAAGTTTCTTTTGTAGCGGATAGGTGTAAAACTACAAAAGTGAGCGTATTGACAAGCAGCAGGATTTTTTTCTATACACGCTTCTACTATGCTAGTCATCTCTTCCACTACTTAGTATGACGTCAAGGAAGGTCAGCTTTTTATCGTAATCCTCTTCACCAGTGAAAGTGATTGCCGGGTGTACACTGTTGAATTGTTCCAGGAGTTTTTCTTTGCTGATGTCTTGGTCTGCAATGATGAATGTGTCATCGACGTACCGACAATGTAGATCAAGATTCTGAATAGCTTTTTTATGTGGTCCAATTTCTAGCTGTGCTACGAACTTTTGCCTATTATATGTAGTGACGTAATCTCTATTTCATTTCATTGTGATTATCACTCAAATTGCCTTGATTGGTTTAACATTTTCATATCAATATTCATGTATATTAGAGTAAAGCTAGATGATGATCTAATCGAAAGCAATATTGTTCGCTTATATGTGTTGTTCAAAAAAATTATTATTTGGTCATTGTGTAACTTCTACTGTAACTTTTTGAAAAAAAGCTGAGTCACTTTTTAATATCAAACTCTCGCCCTTGAATAGTTTCAACTGGCTTTTTGGTGGATAGATTGTACAGAGCGCTGTATTTGTTGATTTAAACATATAAACATTGATACAAATATTTATGCATTATGGGGTTGTGAAGATCGTTAATTTACACATTTTTGAAACCGTGAATCGAGATCACTATTAGACCACCATTAGAAACCTGGAAGCACTGGACGGCCATTTCTTCCTGGTACGGGGCTTCTCATCAGCAGTGCACATCCACGACTCATGCACCCCGCAGAATTCGAACCCAGGACTTACGGCATTGTGCGCGAACGCCTAACCATCGGACCACTGAGCCGTAGTGCGAATTATCTGGGCTCACTAGTCACTAGCTTCGTGAAGAATCTTCTCCAAGTTCTATAGGTAAGACGTGACCAGTGAAGTTCAACCTGTTCGGGTGTAGACAGTAACTACTACAGAAGACTATGTATGAGGTTGCACAACTCCGTGAATTTATCAAGTTAGACATTAACACCGTTAGATGCTGGTTCAGTGCTTCGATGGTTAGGCATTCGCGCACAATACAGAAGGTCGTGATTTCGAATTCTGCGAGGTGCATGAGTCGTAGATGCGCACTGCCACTGATGAGTCCCATCCCAGGACGAAACGGCCGTCCAGTGCTTTCAGGTTTCTAATGGTGGTCTAAAATTGATCTCAATTCATGGCTTCAAAAATATTTATGCACCACAAAAATCATTGAATGTACAATTTTACAAGGATACCCGGCTGGATGACTAAACAGAATTAGGTGGTATTCTTAGAAGGCCTCATCCGGAGCATTTGATCCAAAAGTCTAGTCCATGAGACAAAGAAGCAACATAAGGTCGAACATTCCCATATTAGCCAGTGTTAAGGTTCGTACACCATTCCTGTCATCAAAATCTTGAAGTCTATGTTCATCATTGGATGGAATAAGGGTTGTTCAGCTCACCTAGATGGGTCATTCGTAAACATTAACCTATTCGAAGTGCCAGACATTCGCTTTTCATCCTCTCAATTACGTTATGAGAAGTCGGTCGGTGGGTGGGACCTCCTGGACAGCGGCTATATACACTTCACTATGCGATAGTATTTAATGACAGCGAAAGAAGACTCTTTGAACTCTTGACCGCATCAGGACACTTGCGGGGCTAACCAAACTTCTAAACTGTTTAAATGAATAATTCAGTCAACTGTTAGATCCTTTCAGATTGATAGAAATCAGTACACTGTTCGAAAAGATAGATTTGTGGTTAGTTGACACTATATGTTGTACTCATTGTGTACCAATAAGTCAATTCCACTAAAACGATGTTCAATACACGAATTTATTGAAATTATATCAATCTTAAAACATAATTTTCGCTCACTCAAAACAAAATCACTGAAAACTCATGTATATATGTACATATATACACATGTATTACTCCGCTTGTAGACCCTATGGGGTTATTGCCGGTCCCAAACCCGGACGAGGTAGTAGGCTTGAGTGTGGGATTGGGGACCTAATCCTATATAAAACTAACTCGCTAAAATTCTCTAACCAGAAAACATAATTCAAACCATTTTAACTCTGCCTTGAGAGTTAAAACGTCTCCTTTCTATAGAGTTATGATGCCTCATGATGAAAGCCGAGTTACATCGGAATTCATGAGCCCAATGCCCCCCCTTCTCACAACCAGAGCGATCATTCTTTGAGGTACATAGAATGTTTGAACAATATTGGGAGACTAGAAGACTATTCCAAGTTGCCAATAAAATGAAAAGATACAACTTGAAAGTGTTCGGAATCAGTCAAACGTATTGGACGCTAGTTGGACAACTGAAACTAGCTTACAGAGAGCTGTTCTTATACTCAGGCCATGAAGAAGAAAATACCTCACACACACACAAGGAGTTGCACTTATGCTGTTCAAACAAGCTCAAAATGTATTGATAGGATGAGAATCTCATGGACCCAGGATCATCAAAACATCCTTCCAAACGATGAAAAAGGACATTAAGATGAACATCATATGTGTATGTAACTCAATAACCAATACTGAAATTATCGATTTACTTGACCGAAAGAGATCAGCAAACTAACTAAACTTTTCCAAGTAGACATACTGATAAAAACCAATCACTATCATGCTAATTAGAATGCTGTCATTGATTTGACATTGAACAGAAAAATATATATTTTCTAAAGATTATATTTAATTTTTAAAAGTTTTAATTTGAAAATATAATTTCACAAAAAAATAATAAAACTAGTTACACACAAAAATCATTCGGATCAATTGAATACACACACAACACAGCAATTCAAATGATGAAGAGTATCAGTGAACTGTTTAACCACAGCAATAAAAAATTAAAAAAGATCTAAGCTGACTTCATGTCAAATAGTTGAACTGTTAATATTTAAAACAATTGATAAGTACATGTTTGGTGAGCTATGTATCACTAGTCTTATGACGGTCGATTTACAACGTATTCTTAGTCTTCATAATTTGCTCATCTAGGCTATCGTCATCAAATAATGAGTGCCTGACGGTTTATAAATCAGAAAGCAAACATGGAGGGTTGAATAAGTTTATTTTTGTGTTATGTTCGTCACTAAGTATGCTTGGGGCTATTACGAGTTCACCTTAGTCGATAAACGCCAACGAGACAATGGACCAGTGTCCAGGTAGGCTACCTTGAATACCAAACTGTAAAATAGAAGATTTGGCAAGCGTAGAAAGTATATTCTACAAACACGCAGTAATCACAATACAATCAAGCATACAACTCTCATTTATTTATACATCACAGAAACGTCCTTGGGACAGTTACGAAAATAGCACACTAAAATTCACAGCAGCCAATCACAGCCAAGGATTTTCCTGGTCGGAAATGTTTGTTCATTACTCTCATATCTTTCTCTATATCTCAGCGTAATGTGTTCCTTATCCTTCCTCTTTTCTTTCTACCTTGAAGGTTCCAAATGAGGGCTTGTCTTGTGACACAGTTAGATGCTTTTCTCAGTGTGTGTCCTATCCACTTCCACCGATTCTTCCTGATTTCCTTCTCCACTCGAATCTGGTTTATTCTATCCCATAGTAAGTTGTTGCTGATGGTGTCTGGACAACGAATCCGAAGTATTTAGCGAAGACAACTGTTCATAAATACTTTTATCTTCTGGATGATGGCTTTCTTAGTTCTACAAGTTTCCGCTCCATACAGTAGAACTGTCTTGACATTTGTATTGAAAATTCTGATTTTGGTGTTGATTGATATTTGTTTGGAGTTCCAGATGTTGTTCATTTGTAGAAATGCAGCCCTTTCCTTGCCAATCCACGCCCTCACATCTGCATCGGATCTACCTTGATTGTCAATGATGCTTCCCAGATAAGTAAAGATGTTAACGTCTTCCAAGGTTAGCCTTGACTACTTGAAACTTATTTCGGAAACTCATAGGCGTGTTTCCACAGCATACTACTGATAATCAATATCATAAGTTGTATCCACTACATCCGTTCTACTTTTCTTATTGAATTAAAATGATAAAAAGTTATCTTCTTCATTTGATCGTCAATCAATCTTTACTATTGAATAACGCGAATCAAGTTCCAATCTGTGATTTCCATTCTCAAGGTCATCTATACTAGAACAACACTCAAAACACACATTCTTTCGCATGCTTTCTTAATTAATTAACTTTGTCAATAGTTGTGAGCGCAAATTTTATTTATCTTCTAGACAATACTTACTTACTTACTTACTTACTTACTTACGTACAATTCATCAATGACCTAATTTAGTTATGAGATGAAGCAAGAAACATCAGCTGAAATTCCTCGCAAACAAAATAAATCACAATACAGAATTGAGCTGATCTGTCATTGATAGTTCAGTAATTTTAAAATTGAAATTTTTGTTTTTTTCAATGAATAAAAAGTAGAGAAAATTATTATTTTTTTTATAGAAAAAAAACAGTGACTTATCTTTACATTTTTTTAGAGAGAGAGAACTAGAAACCAACTCATTCTTGTTTATTGAATTGGATAAATTTTGTGGTTATGATCGACATTTTAAGAAATTCAAACATGAGAGAGAATACTGTAACATAGTTAGTAAAGATTTATTATCAGGTATGGATTATTGTACATTGAAAAATTAATTTTGAATTATCAAGTATTGAACAAATAATACTTTGTCTTTATTGTACATTGATCAGAAATACGTACTAGTATGAAACAGATGTATTGTGTTCCCTTGTTTGTAGTGAGTTTTTTTAGTCTCTAGTAAAAAAAAAGAAGTATATTCAATCACTTAACAAACTTCAGCCTCAGCAGCATCATGTCTCAACACACATAAAGGAAAGAGTAAGGTTCTGCGATATAACACGTCACACAACAAACAAATCACTCTTGATGGAGATGCCTTGGAGGACGTTAACACCTTGAACTTTTCTGGGCAGTATCATCGACGAGAAAGGTGGATCCGATACAGATGTGAGGGTGTGGATTGACAAAGCAACGGCCGCATTTCTACAAATGAACAACATCTGTAACTCCAAACAAATATCAATCAACATCAAAGTCAGACCTTTCAATGCAAATGTCAAGATAGTTCTACTGTATGGAGTGGAAACTTGGAGAACTCCGAAAGCCATCATCCGGAAGATAAAAGTGTTTAGTAACAGCTGTCTACGCAAAATACTTCGGATTCGTTGGCCAGACACTATCAGCAACAAAGTACTGTGTGACAGAACAAACTAGATTCGAGTAGAGGAGGAAATCATTAAGAAGCGGTGAAAGTGGATAGGACACACACTACGAAAAGCACCAAAATGCGTCACAAGACAGGCCGTTTCTTGGAACCCTCAAGGCGAAAGGAAAAGAGGCTGGCCAAAGAACACATTACGCCGAGAAATAGAGAAAGATATGAGAAGAATGAACAAAAACAGGCGAGAACTAGAAAGGGAAGCCCAGGACAGAGTTGGTTGAAGAATTATGGTGGTCGGCCTATGCTCCATTCGGGGTAACAGACGCAAGTTAGTTAGTAAGTGCTTAACAAACTTTGGTAGTAGCATGCCTCTTCATTTTAAAGAGCTCTCATTTACCAATCGTTTGTTTATTTCTCATTTTCTTTCATATTTTTCAAAAGGACAAATATCTTTTACATTTTTTTTTCTATAAACTACTACCTTTTTATCAGTTTCGTTTTCGAGGTTGTGGAGACTATTGAGTTTCGTTGAAATCACGAATCGACCATTGTCAAAGCACCTTCAGAAATCCGATAGCACTGGATAGACGTTTCACACTAATATAGAACTAATCATTAGTGCTTATCTTAGGGTCCGGCTTACGTGAATCGAACACTTCGATTTCGCTCGAGAACGCTTATTACCATCAATAAATTCAACTTTAGAAAACTTTTAATAATGTACCTTTTATTTCAAACTGTTTTTCTGAATAAAAACTAACTGTAAATAAGGCCAATAATGAAATTATCGAAAAAACAAAGTTTTCTTCATTATACCGACTTACTTTTTTTCATCTTACAATCTAAACCTCATCGAAATAAAACAGAAAATATTTGTCTAATCTCTTCACTGTGTGTCTCAATAATTTCTGAGTTAATTCCAAAAAAAACAACCTACAGTGAATCAATGATCTGATGTGTTTACAAATTAAGCTTATTTTATATTCTTTCATTAAAATTTGAACATGACTTGTTTACACCTGTTACCCGTAATGCAGCATAGGCCACCGACCAACATTCTTCAACCTACTTTCTCCTTGAGTCTTCCTTTCCAGTTCTATCGAACTGTTGTTGCTCATTCTTTTCATGTCATCTTTCAATTTTTTAGTGAAATTTAAATTCTGTTCTTCTTCTTTCCCTTTGGCTTTGAGAATTTTAAATTAGGGTCTTGCCTCATGACATAGTTGGGTGCTTTCCACAAAGTGTGTCTGTTGGGGACGTTAGATCCTAAGAACTCACTTGGAAAAGATCCTAATTTCGGTTTTTGGTGTTTTCGCGCATAAGCTGCTAAGTTGACCTTGAGATTACATTTCCCACTCGGAAAATCCTTGATTATCATTGGTTGATGTATTATTTTTGTACGCTATTTTTTTGGCTCTCCCAAGGACTTTTCTATTGTGGATATATAAGCTTATCAACTTGGCATTTTCTGAACGCTTATAGAATTCACTTTCTACGCCTTATCAAGACTTTTTGATGGTATAGTTAGCTGAGTCGATGACAAACAGACTACAATAGACTATCAAACCTCTTGCATCAATATTCTGTGTTCCGTTTTACCGAGTAAGGTGAAATCGTAATAGTTTCAAGTATATCAGATGACGAGCATATCAGTGACATAGTCACTCCCAACAATTTTCCCTTATTTCTTGTTCATCTGGAAGCTGGTTTGTTCTATCCAACCATTGTAGATTGTTATTGATTGTATTAATAGTTGGACAGTGTCTGGTTCTCCTGAAAACCCCCGACCGTAGCTGTTACCTTGACGTGGTGGTCTGGCTTGCCTATCGTGATGACCCAACCGAGCTCTATTGGTTGGAACATATGTTCCTGAAGGTGCTACCATGACAGGCGGGTCGATTAGAGAACGATAAGACTAAAACCAGTCACTCAACGTCTGAGGGCGAAGTCGTACTGCTGACTGCAGATGGGTGTGACGGCAGTAAGGTGTTTCCCTCGGACAACCAGCATCTGCAGAGATAATACCTTCTCACAAGGAAGGAAGGGTTAGAAAAGGTCGACCCTAAAGATGTCACACCTCACCCTACCTCACGGGTTTCCGTCTCCAGCGGGTAAGGATGCCAACTAAGGGCTTTTAACAGCGGAGCTAATACTCAAAACCTTTCATCAAAAGGCCACGCGTGACCAGCTTCAGGTAGTTGTCTCTTGGACTCTGCGGTCACGCTCCCAGGTCTCTAAGATCAACAGTAATCTACCTTCCTTTTCAGGTTCTTCAAGAAACACCCTTCCTTAGTGTGGGCAGCTGGAAAGTGACAACCGCCCTCATACCCGTTACAGCACACGAGACACACACACACAGTCACAATCAAATCTTTCTTTTACACCCCCTGTCTCCTGAATACAAATGTAAAATGACCTTTATCCCATTGAGCCTAAATTTATATCACTTCTTCATTATATATAATCGTCAAATTTTTTTTTCTCATGACGCAATCGATTTATTTTGTGGTTTCAGTGAAAAAGAAAACAATTTTAATAAGACCGGATTATGTAATTAGATAAGATAAAACAAGAAAATTAATCATAATCAGAAAATGAAAAACTTCTATTAATGAAAATCTATTGAAGATTAATACTGGTGATATCTAAACGATTAAACTAACCTTCTGACAAGTTTTCTATTCATTTGATCGATAACTATGGACGACCGTATCTATTCTAAACATTTTCATCATTGTCTTCTATCTACATAACAAACGTTGAATTGAAAACTCTCTTTTTGGGGAATAGAACACATGTGGAGATTCATAAGTAGGAGGAAATGAACTGATCAGAGCATATTAAAGTAATCGAGCAACATCATTGTAGAGAATGATGGATTTGATGTAGATGTGACGAAGCGGATCGGGAAAGCAAGGGCTGTATTTCTACAAACTGAACAAAATCTAAAACTCAAAACAACTATGATTCAACACCAAATTTTCGACTTACAATACTTAGTACTCAGATCCGTGACAAGAGAAGCACTCACTTGCAACCCTCAAGGTCAAAGGAAAAGAAAAAGACCAAGGAACATATTACGCAGAGAGTCAACATCAACGTGGAATTGGGTGTTAAGAGACCGAAAATAACGTTCGGAGAACTCGTATCGTTTGCATCAGCGGTGCAGGGTGATAAAGGTAGGTGAGAAGAGTTAGTCGTGGTGATAAATGGCATGTTTAGGGGTGTAAGAAGAATTCGATAGTGATGATTTTGGTCTCGTGTGCTGGTACGCGTATGAAGATGGATGTCACTCCCTGGCTGCTCACACCGTGGAAGGGCGTTTCTTGAAAAACCTGAAAACAAAGGTAGATTAGCGTTGATCTTAGAGACCTGGGAGCGTGACCGCAGAGTCCAAGGGATAACTGCTTGAGGCCGGTCACATACGGCCATTTTATGGGTAGTATATAATGTGTTAGCTGCATTCTTGTTGGAAAGCCTTTACCGCCGTAGACGGAAATAAGTGAGGTAAGGTGAGGTGTGACATTTTGAGGGTCGACCTTCTCTAACCCTTCGTTCCTTGTGAGAAGACAGCAGCATCGCTTCAGATGCTGGTTGTCTGAGGGAAACACCTTACTTCTGTCACACCCCGCATAATAGTCAGCAGTACGACTTCTCCCTCAGACCTTGAGTAGCTGCTTTTAGTCTCATCGTTCTTCAATCGACTTGCCTTGGATGATAGAACCTTCAGGAACATATGTTCCAGCCAGTATAGCTTAGTTGGATCATCACGATATGCAAGCCCGACCACTACGTCAAGGTAGCAGCTACGCAGAGAGATGGAGACATACATGTTAAGAATCAACAAAAATTGGACGGAACTAGAAAGGAAGACCCACGACATAGTGCACCGTCAGTCTATCCTCCATTGAGGACAACTGACGAAAGATAAGTTTAGGAATTATATCCGGCGCATTGGATGATATTTGTTTTAATATTCTGTCAATAGAACAGTAGTCTGACTATAAATGGACAGAGGTTGATACGCGGAGATTATTCTTTTGTGTGATAAAGCTTTACTGTGATGTTAAAATCCGTGTTTGGTGACGGAAGTTGGGGAGTATCCGAAATGTCAATGAGCGGTACCGTATGAGCTTGCTTTCAAAGCACTACACGTAGCGAAGTAGTCGGGGTAATACAATAGTGCCCTGGGGGGCCGTACAACATACAATAATCGTATCGTGTATCGTGCAAAATACGATCCGCAGTGCGTATCTAAACGAAGGCCTATGGGGGAGGAGGAGCAGCTGTGAATGAACTGGCTCATCAACAAAGCAGGCCAACAACATGACTCAGAGAAAGAGGAGAATCGCTAGGGGGAGAGGATATCAGCAACGTTGTGCTGCATCGGCAGTGATATAAATACCAATGAGCTATGTATTTTGCAATGGACGAATTCTTCGATTAGTTGTGGAAGCTGACTGGATTGGACTGACTGTGGTTTAGTGAACAAAAAAGTAAGGTAATACAAGGCTGAATTAACTTTGGGGAAACGACACAGTCAAAACAAACGTATATTAAACTCAAGTACGGGCGGCGGAAAGTTGTTTACACAAAATAGATGGTATCAACTCTACTCTTCAGTAGGACTGTTTATTGACAGAATATTAGAACAAATAGTCATCCACAAAAGAAAGATGCGCCGGATATAGATTGCACATGGCAGGCCTTATCTTTCGTCGAGTTGTCCCTCAATGGAGGATAGACCTGACGGTGCACTAAATATGTCGTGGTGGTCCTTCCTTGTCTAGTTCCGTCCAATTTTTTTGTTGATTCTTAACATTGTATGTCTCCATCTTCTCTGCGTCGGCTAGTCTCAGCCGGGTTGACGTAAAGTGGTCGGGCTCGCCATATCGTGATGATCCATCTAAGCTATACTTGGAGCTGGTAAACATAATGTTCCTGATGGTTCTGATCATCCAATGGCAAAGTCGATTGAAGACCGATGAGCCTAAAAAGCAGCGTACTCAAGGTCTGAGGGAGTAGTCGGGTACTCTGCTGACTATTAGTCGGGGTGTGACAGAAGCTAAGGGTGTTTTCCTCCCTCAGACAACCAGCATCTGAAGCGATGCTGTATCTGTCCTTCTCACACAGGAACGAAGGGTTTAGAGACAGGTCGACCCCTCCAAATGATGTCACACCTCACCAGTTACCTCACTTATTTTCCGTCTACGAGGCGGTAGACAGGGCTTTCCACAAGAATGCAACAGCCTAACAACATTCATATACCTAACCCATAGAATGGCCGTACTGTGACGCGGGCCTCCAAGCAGTTATCCCCTTGGACTCTGCGGTCACGCTCCCAGGTCTCCTAAGATTCAAACGCTAATTCTACCTTTGTTTTCAGGTTTTTCAAGAAACGCCCTCCCAACGGTGTGAGCCAGCCAGGTGTGTAGTGCACATCCATCTTCATGTATACGCGTACCAAGCACACGCGACCAACAATCCTCACTATCGAATTCTCCAAATTCTTTACACCCCTTAACATGCCTATTTATCACCACGACTAACTCTTCTCACCTACCTTTATCACCCAGCACCGCTGATGCAAACGATACGAGTTCCTCCGAACGTTATTTTTCGGTCTCTTAACACCCAATTCCCCACGTTGATGTTGACTCTCTGGCGTAATATGTTCCTTGGACTTTTTTCTTTTCCTTTGACCTTGAGGGTTGCAAGTGAGTGCTTCCTCTTAGTCACGGATCTGAGTACT